AGAAAAATAACAAACAATACAATTTAAAACTGGGCAAAGGACCTGAATAGACATTTCCCCTGAGGACATACAGATGGCCAATAGACACATGAAAAGATGCTTAACATCAGTAATCATCAGAGAAATGCAAATTAAAACCACAATGAGATATCACCTGATACCTGTCAGAATGGCTATCATCAATAAATCAACAAACAAGTGTTGACGAGGATGCAGAGAAAAAGGAACCCTCATGCACTGTTTGTGTGAATGTAGATTGATGTAGCCACTGTAGAAAACAGCATGGAATTACCTCATAATATGATTGTTTTATATGTCCTCCTTGATGTAAATATTGGAATAATGATACTGTCCATATAGTAAAAATGCTGCACGGGCCACCTGGAAACAATGTCACAAATTCACACAAAAAACCAAAATGGTAATACTGAATTTGTTAAACCATGGTAGACAAGAGATTAAAATACACTTGAGAGAATAAATACCTTAAGGTTGTGATTTATTACGCACCTACTATGGACTGGCACAGTGCTAGTGGCTACAGGCACAAAGGTAAGCCTCAAGAAGCTGTCTAATGGAGAGTGCTGGACACGGCAGCAGTTAAGGAACACTGGGAGAATGTAGAACAGAGGCAAGAGCTGATATATCAGTGAAAACCTGAGTTCAGATCCCAGCTCTGCCCTCACCTAGAGAAACTTGGTTAACTTCTCTTTGTCTCAGTTTCATTTTTCAGATGTGGATAATAATGCCCAAATAATGGGTTGCAGAATTAAATGAGATCATATATACCGGTGATAGTCACACTGTGTTCCTCAGAGCCCTAAGACTTCAGAAAGATGTTTATGAGGAGACTCAACTTAAGATGCTGGAAGGAGACTACTAAAAATGTCTAAAAAACACAGATTTATGCAGTGTAACTAATACAGTTCTTGGCACATACGGAGTGTTTCAGGATGGCTATTATTTTTATTTTTATTATTACTACAAAGAAGGTGCACCTAATGCAGGGAATTCAAGGAAATTGATTCCTGAGTGAAAACCTGAAGAATGGAAAGGAGGTAGCAGGGGAAGAAGAGGGGAGAAATAGTACCTATAGGGTGTGATGGAAGTTGCAAAGAAGGCAAGTACAATTCAGTAAAGGAGTCTTTCTAATCTTCTCTACCACGAAAGACTAACTTGGTGTCAAAAAGATACAACTAACAACAAAGAGAATTTCATGCCTGGAGAGATATAGCTCTCAGCAAGAAACTGATAAAGCCACTCTGCCAAGCGAGGTCATTCTTGGTGTATTAATGTTTTCCTATTTAGAACCTGAATTGTCTGCTCTTTTTCTGTCAAGACCAGGACATATCAAAGGCTGTGTTGCCAAAAAAACAAAAACAACAATGAACAGTCCATCACTGTGAGAACAGGTGGGAGAAGCTGTACCATCAGTGAAGTAGAATAATTTTTTTAATTGACTTAAAACATGAGCTTTTTAATCATTCAAAGCTGTGAGTCTCTTGGCCCAGAATAAAGGCCAGTACTGATCCAAAGAAATGTGGTGTATAAATGCACATTTAGCAAAGCCATCTTTTTAAGTTTTGCTTAAAGCTTTGATTAGCATTGCTTTTGCATTCTGAAGTCAAGCACTGTAGCTAACCTAATTTGGCTTTGAGCATCAGCATGAAGACATCTGTACTTCTTAGTAAACCATTACCATTAGTCCTACTTAGATGAAAAGCTACTTGACTTGGAACACTGCCTGTAGTTCATTGCCCTTGATGTGAGAACAGGAAGATTCTTCTCCAATTTAAAGTTCTAGAATATATCAGTTTGTCTTTGGGTTCCTAACCACCTTCAAATCACCTTCCAAACACCTTCCCTACCACAAGCATGTAAAACATTTATAGCCTACTAATAAGGATAATTTAAGATTAAAATGCTCTCTCTTCAAAATGGTAGCCAATATTGACATTTCTCTTCAATCTTTTGCAATACTAAAAATTCTATTTTCAAAATTGATGTAACAGCCAAAATAAGAATAGTCAAAGAAAACAGAATGAAAATAAAGACAAGTACTCCTTATGACACGATTCCATAAAACTTCAGCTCAAATTCTAAAAATGACCAAATAACTTTACAAAAATCTCTTTTGTTGTTCTTCCTTACATAAAAAACACAGCACACTTTAAAATAAGAGTTTTAACCACAATTCTGAAATACACAGGATATTTTCTCCTAAGTATGCATTTGTACCAATGCTTAGTACAACTGGATTCACGGTTCTCATAAAAATGTTTGTAATCTGTTTCAATAGGGAATGCTCTCAAATGGAGATATAAAGTAGCAGTCTTCAAACCGGGATATGCATGGCCTGGGGATACATACAACTTTCTAAGGTGTATGTGGACTTGGACAGTTTAATAAGAATCCATTATTTTCAGATCAACGTCCTGAAGGAAGAGAAGCCTTGAGTCAGGGTACCTCCCTCCATGATGGCCCTTTGCCAACTTCATATATGAGGAGCAAACTCCCCATCCATCCAGAAACTTATTACTGAAAACTGGGCTGGGTGGAGAAACCTTCAAAGCATCAAACAAACTTCAACACATTAGTGCCTTGGCTGAGAAAGTGAATGAGTTCAACAACTAGGGGACAGACACAGCCTTCTGTAATTGAGACAGTTCCAATCCCTTGCCTTCAACAAAACAAAAACAAATTGAGAATGCTCACTTATTTGATACATAAAATAAAGCTTGATGAAAGATAACTGTGTGATTTGGGGTTATAACTCAGAAGTTTAAAAATTAGTGAAACTACTACATAACACAACTCCCACTATTTCCATCTTCTAACCCATGTGAATAACAGCATTTGCATTTATAAAAACAAAACCACCAAACAAACAAAAACTAGACAGAACTGATGCTAACCCCTATCTCATCAAGCTATAATTCGAATATCCAAGAAAATCTGAAGTAATTTTTTAAAGGTCTCACTAAGAAAATAATTATGATGAATGTTAATTATTTTTAACAAATATTTATGAAAATGCACATTACATACATTTCATTATTTTTGTACTAATAATGGTAATGACAATTTGCTTCAAAAGAACTTTTAAATCTTTTAGAAATGTATTGTCCAATACTATGTCCACTTGTGGCTAGTTCAAATTGAAATGTGTTATAAGTGTAAAATACACACTAATTTTGAAGATTTTGTAAGAAAATGATAATACAAAATATTAAAATTTTTATTTTGATTTCATATGGAAATGAAATTTCGAATGTACTACATTACAATGTATTATTAAAATTAATATCATCCGTTTCTACCTTTTTAATGAGATGAAAAGGACCAAAGTTTTGCTACCCTCAAACTGACCTTTGGGATACTGACTTTAAGATTCAGAAAGAACATTTGTCTATCCCCCTTTTCTGCCCCTGAGATTTAGATGGAACGACCTGCTCCAGAAAGGAATCCTAGCTTCCTCTCCTCAACCTACTTTGAATGAGGCATGGTAGACAGGAAGGCTCCAAGAAGGGGCCTAGGAACTATTACTTCTATGTCCCACTGATTCTGGGTCGACTAGTAATAATTTGCCGACTAGTCATAATTGTGTGTTCTGCTCTTTCTCAGCTACCTGTAAATTGCCTATTTCCTTTGAAATTTCAGACTCCCTGCCCCCTTTTTCCTCTGTCCACAAAGACATATAAGCTTCAACAGCCCAGTGCATTTTGGGGTCTCATATCTTATGACAACCCCTGTCATATACATCTGTTAATAAACTTTGGACATTTTCTCCTGTTAATCTGTCTCTGTTAATTTGATTAGCTGGGGGAAAATATTATACATATATATGTGTATGTATGTGTGTGTGCGCGTGTATATGTGTGTGTGTGTGTGTGTGTGTGTGTATATGCACCCCCACTGAAACTACTCAAAAGTTTTAAATTACATGTAAATTTCACATTATATTGGACAGAACTGACACAGAACCTCATGGTCCAATGACACACAAAAAAATGATTTTAAATGTATATGTTTCTGTTTCATAGTGAAAGGAACAGGAGAGAGTAATAGAATGGAGAACTAATCATAGAGGAGTACCAGCCATAATTATAAGAAATGTGAATCATCCTTGCTCTGATAATCACGGTTGCTTTGTTCTGATTAAAGAAAGCCCATTCTGACCTGGCTGGGAGCTGTACGCCTCAGGACTTGACCTCTGAAACGCTGTTCACTGTCTTCATCTGAGAACAAGGGGGAAGTGCTTGACATCACGGACAGATTAACAACCTGGTTATAGGAGCACTAGAACCCAGAGGCACACACTGGCAACCTTTTTCGATCCCCAGCCCACATTCCTCCCCCTTGCTCAAACCCTTTGCAATCCCCCAGCCCAATTCCTTCCCTGTGATTGCAATCACCTGTAACCACTTTACCCATATTTTTCTTTTTGCCTACCTGCTGTTTTCTCACACAGTTTTTGTCTTTCTATCCTTTATAAACAGCCAGCTAGCAAGGTGGGGCAGAGCAGATTTTTCAGGGATAACCCACTGCTCTCCCACACTGCCGGCAATATTGGAATAAACATTCATATACGATTCAACTTTGTCTCTGCTTAATTGGCTCGAGTAGCAACAGGCGGCCCGGACCTATTCGTTGTCCAGTTTCAGTAGTATAACGAGAAAATCAATATAAGACTCTTAAGTATAAAAGTAATCGTTTTAAAAATCTTTGTCATTGGTTTATCAGGATTCATATTATCCAATAGATTTTCATTCCCAAATGTAGTTGTGTTCCCAATTACCTGCTAGAATGAAGTAACCCAGGGAAAATGTTATTCACTCTGATTTCCTCGGCTAAAATTTCCATTCTCTCCATATTGTCCTGGTTTTCATGCTTTCAAAGTCTGCAAACTCAATCTTACATTTCTGCCCATATACTTTAAAAGTACTTTATACAAATGGACAATGAAAAAGTAGTTGATAACTGAAAGACAAACACACTACCTGGAGAAGCACACTGCAGCAGAGCTACTGATTTGCCTCCAGGGGCAGCACAGAGATCCAGAACCTTCTCTCCATCCCTTAATTCAAGAGCCAGTACTGGAAGAAGAGAGGCAGCATTCAGGAGATAGTATTTTTTTAGGCTTCCAATTTGGTGTCTTTCTGAAGGCATCCGGTGGGGAATTCTGCTAAGGTAACACTTCACTGATTTAGGATAATAGGGCAAAGATCCTTGAAAGAGTGTGTGATAGCCTTTGAAATGTAAATCCTTTTCCAGTTCAAAAGGGTAATTGAATCGGTTAAGAAGGACAGCATGTTGCCAGCATGACGGAGATGTTAGTATGTCCCTAGAAATACAAAAACAAAGTAATATTATTATAAAGACTAATACAGTTTTATACTAATAATCCAGTGATGTGGTCTTAGTTTTACATTTTACTTACCTGAGATTTTCAGAGCCAAGATCAGTATTTCTGGCTTTTCCTTTTGGCCCCAGGCTCCAATAAGATACTGTCTTGAGATCTTTGTTTGATATTTTGTTCTTTGTGGGTTTTTTTCTTTTACATCAATTCTGGTTATTAAAATATTATTTATCTTGATTATAGATAAGTGAATTTTAATCCTCATCCGAGGATATTTTTCCATTTTTTGTACAGACAGAGTGGGAGGGAGAAAGAGGAAGAGAGAGAGAGGGAAACATCGATGTGAAAGGGCCACATCGAGTGGCTGCCACCCGCACGACCAACCAGGGCCGGGGACAAACTGCAACCGAGGTACGTGCCCTTAGCGGGAACCGAACCCGGGTCTCTCCGGACCGCAGGCGGACGCTCTAACCGCTGAGCCAAACTGGCCAGGGCGATAAGTGAATTTTAGGTGCCCCTAAAATTCTGCACCATTGAGGGATGCATATTTGCCTCAGCCTGCCCCTCCCTGTAGAATAACTTGCCAAAAAAAAGAGCCTGCTTTTACATACCTCTAAATCCAGCAAAATCTATGTTAAGTCAATCACTGTTTGCACAAGGAAATGTTTTTCTTAGAGACAAAATTTAAAACCTGAGACTATTAATATCAGAAGGAAAATTACTATCATTAAAGGGTGTTTAAATTATGAGTGTTAAAAGTTTTCCTTATGAAGATAACAGTATGGAAAGCTGACTACAGTGAACTCTACAGTAAAAGAATTAATGAGGCGATCAGTGGCTCAGATGACACAAAACCAAGAATGGCTTTAAAATCACTTATGGATGGTAAGGCTCTCACTCCCTCCCCCAGCAAATCTAATTTCCTAATTTTTTATTTAGTCCAACAGATCTCTTGACATTCATAGGTTCACATCAACCGACAGATGATACAGCAGGAAATATTTATTTACGAGCTGACCTTTCTAGCTGAATTATTTGGGAGCCTCATTAACCATCGTCAATTAAATAAATTCCAGCTGCTCCTCACCCTGGAGCTGTCCATGTGAGGAATGGCTGGTTGAAATGTAACACCTGTGACTTGAAGTGTGCTGCGTGAATTTCCATCAGGGGCTTATTTGTGAAGCTGCTTTCTGCTTTCACTGCCTCTTATTACGATGGTGCATTGCAGAAGCCCGGCGTATGTTTCAGTATTCTGGAGGATGACAACTTCTTTCTTAAAGAATGTGCTTCACACACTTGAGGATGCATCAAATGTCTGAAAAAGACTGCTGGGGCCTAACGCCGAAGTTTCTGATTCAGTGGGTCTTAGGTGGGGCTTGAGAATTTGTATTTCTAGTAAGTTCTCACGTGATTCTGATACTGCTGATCCCAAGACCATGCTTTGGGAACCACTACATTAAAATTCACTCCAAAGCCTGGTTGGTATGACTCAGTGGATTGAGTGTTGTTGTCCCATGGACTCAGAGATCCCGGTTCAATTTCTGATCAGGGCACATGCCCAGGTTGCAGGCTCAGTCCCCCATGGGGGGCGTGCAGGAGGTGGCTGATTGATGTTCCCCTTTCACATCGATGTTTCTATCTGTCTCTTCCTTCCTTTCTCTCTAAAAAACCAATAAAAACGTTTTTGTTTTTGTTTTTTTTAAATGTCCTCCCAAGGGAAATCTGTGAATGCCACCAATGGAAATCTTATGTCAGTCCATCCTAATCTTACTCTTCAAATTGAGTGAAAAATCTATCCGGGTTTTGAGTCATGTAATATCAGAGAAATGATGGTCAGAAACATAATTAATACAGACTGGAGTGGCTTAGCTTACATCACATGTCCACCCTTAGATAACAAAATGTAGGAAACTTCCAGTTGGTTAATATCTGACAGGGCAAGTCTCCAATCTTTTCCGTTTCTTCTTCGGAACTTCCAAAACTACTTTGTTATTCTTTCAGATGAACTTTAGAATCAGGTAGTCAATTAAAGATAATTGTAAAATATCTGTTTAGATAATTAGTAACTTTGATTAGTTATACTAAATGCCCTACGTTCAAGGAAATTAACAGCTCTATTGTATTCAGTGTTTCCAACCCTACCCACAATATATTCCCCATTCATTCACATTTTCTTTCAGACCCCTTAGTAAAGGTTGTTAACGTTACAAATTTCCTTTAGCCTTATTGTGTAAAAGGATTCTTAGCTTGGGAACACTACCGTTATTTGTAGAGTGTTCCCGCTCCTGGAGGATAAGGAGGAAGCAGCCCCAGGAAGTTCTGGGTGAAGGCCAGCACGTGTCCAGGCACAGAGGTATGAAGGGCAGTGCATTTGGGGAACTGCAGGCAGTCTGGTGTGGCTTTTGGCAGATGATTATATGGGTCAAGTATAATATAATCAAGTTTTAAAATGTTATAAGTGATGGGAAGTCATTGAAAAAGTCAGGAGGGAGAGCCTCGTTAGAGTTAAAAACAAGTACTTAAAGCACAGTAAGCAAGAATCTGAAATAATTCTATCTCATTCTTTTACAAGATCAAAATAAAGCCTTACTTAGAACAAATACATTTTCTCCTTCCTTCCTTCTTTCCTTCCCTTCCCTTCCCTTCCTTCCTTCCTTCCTTCCTTCCTTCCTTCCTTCCTTCCTTCCTTCCTTCCTTCCTTCCTTTCTCTTTCTCTTTCTTTCTCTTTCTTTCTTTCTTTCATTTTCTTTCTTCCTTTCCTTCCTTTCTCTCTCTCTCTCCCTCTCCCTCTCCCTCTCCCTCTCTCTCTCTCTTTCTTTCTTTCTTTCTTTTCCTCACCCAAGGACATTTTTCCATTTTTTGTTCAGATAGAGTGGGAGGGAGAGAGAGGAAGAGAGAGAGAAACATCGACGTGAAAGGGACACATCGAGTGGCTGCCACCCACACGACCAACCAGGTCCGGGGACAAACTGCAACCCAGGTACATGCCCTTAGCAGGAACCCAACCCAAGTCTCTGTACCGCAGGCCGACACTCTAACCGCTGAGCCAAACCGGCCTGGGCTTTTTTTTTTATTAATTTATTTTTGTTATGATAGAAGAAGTAAACCACCATTTTAGAAAAAGCAAGTACCCAGGAGATAAGACCCTCTTGCCTCCTAGAGATAACCAGACCTTTTTGCTTCCTGCTTCTTTTAAGCTGCTTACCACTCTCTCATCTAAAGAATGTCCACCCAGCCCTCTATACAGCTAGGCACGCCCTGCAACTTGGGGCTCAGAATTTGGAGACTGCCTCCTGGGTCCGCACGTGTGAATAAAGGAACCTCTTCGCTTACTCTGGTGTTGAGTCTTTTCCATAACATTTTGGTTCCCTGACCGAGAAACGACACACGAGCAGGCGATTGCCACCAGTGAGGTGGCCCCGCAGGTCCTCCATGGAGCCCTGTGACAGAGGGAAGCGCACGCCCTGGCCATTTCAGGTCCCTGCCCGTTCCGGGCTCTGCGGCCAGCTGTTGGCAAGGTTCACACCCCACCCGGGCTGCCGGGAGAAAAGAACAGGTCCAGATTCAGGGACTGCGCAGCTTCAAGACCAGTGAGTGCCCCAGGGACCAAGAACCGAGTACAGGCTCACCCTTAAGGTGAGAGACTGATCATCTCTCAGGCCTTTCAGCCACCAGGTAGGGCAAGCCCTAATGGGAGGGAATGTTTAAATTTGTTTAAATGTCAGTGCGTAAATGAGTGTGAATGTCTCTGTGACTCCACCAGTGCAAACCTATGGAGTCTGAGTGGGCCCCAACCTGTGATATCGTGGTGACCTCATATGGCTCATGGCAGCATCAGGTTCTGGGGGACACAGACCCTCCCTGCAAACCTGATATGAGTCAGGGGTTTGTACTGACCTGCCAAAGCTAGGAGGCACCTAAATCCCTGCAAAGGGAATGGCCAGGTGGGCAAACTGAAAATCCCCACCCCTTGTCTGTCTGCGCCGTTACAGGAGGAGAAACTAGGGGAGGAGGCCCATCAACAGTACTCGATTGCACGTTGCAGAATTTTGATCGGTTCCAAGGCCAGGATCAGAGCATGACCCTAAGCCAATGGAAACCTTCTGTTCAGCCGAATGGTCTAGTTTTGGGGTAGACTGGCCCCCTGAGGGAACCCTCAACCTAGGAATCATATGAGCAGTACATCTGATAGTAACAGGGAGGCCAGGACACCCAGACCAGTACATCTACATAGATAGAGGGCAGAAACTAGCTCAGGACATGCCCAAGTGGCTCCAATGCTGTGCTGGGCAGAAGCCGAAATTGGCAGGGGTAACTGGAACAAAGAAAAAGACCTCACCTTGCCAAACCAGGCAGTCCCTGCCCATGTCCTAGTGGCTCAATCTAAAAAAGCATGCCAACCTCCCATTCTCAAAGGTGACCCAGAGGAAGAACCATCCATCCACTTACCCCCCCCCCCCCCGCCCATATGCACCTGAGATGGTCCCCTGGGCTCCCAAAATCCAAACTCCACCACCATCTGTCTCGCCAGCACCAGCCCCAGAAGCGCCCCCAGCCTCCCCAGTCTTGAAAAGGTGCTGGAAACAGCAGCCGCTCTGGATGCCTCTAAGGGAGACCCAGGCCCCACCACAAATTGGGCCAAATTGTACCGAGCAGCCAGGATGGACCATCGTTTATTACCAACTGTTCACCACCACTGACCTCTTAAACTGGAAGCACCATACTCCGTCCTACTCGGAGAAACCCCAGGCCATGATTGACCTTATAGAATCCATCATGCAGACGCATCGTCCCACCTGGTACGACTGCCAACAGCTACTCCTCACACTATTCAACACTGAGGAGCGAAGGCGCATTCTCCAGGAATCCCACCGATATTTAGAAACTATGGCGCCCATGGAAACTTTAGACCCAGTCCAATGGGCAAGAGTAGCAGCACCTGAGGCCCAACCTGACTGGGTGCACCACTCAGAAGAAGGAAGGGC